GCAGTGTTGACTGCAGCTTTGTGGAGAAAGAGTCTAACATTTTAGGCTGTGAGTGTTTGTGCTCTCTACACTCCCCCTCTTCAGCTGTGACATTTGTCATACATGGTGTACATTTTGAATTAACAGCACACAATTATGCCTCATGCGGTTTAGTCACTTTTATCAAGTGCTGCAGTCCGGCTTCGTTTTCTTAGTGTGCCACAAAGGTTACATCATGCAGGATCTGCTGATCACAGAATGATCTGTTACCGGTTTTGGCAACAAGGCGTTGGACTTCTGAGGCTTCCACCTCTGAACGCTGCCTGATACAAAGAGCACGAGAGCGAGGGTTGCTCCAGTGACTCATTGTAGCTGAGCCAGTAGATGCTTACTGGCAAAAGCCTCCCCAAGGAAAGTGTGGGGCCTGGTAGCCCTGTCCTGGGTGAGGTATCATGGATGATTTTTCTCCTCATCATAGCTCTGAATCTAAGATGGGTGAGGCATTACAGAAACTACTCCTCTACATCAAAAAGAGCCGTTTTAGGTACGCGTCTGATCAACATGCCTCCTGCGTGAGGTGTTTTGTGCATATCCAACTAGAAGGAGGCCCAAGAGCAGACGCACGGGAGAGATTATGCCTCTTAGCTGGCTTGGGAATGCCTCTAGGAGGTGGCTGGGGAGCAGGAGGTTGGGCATCTCTGCTCAGACTGCCCACACTTTTCCCTGCTGACGCAGATAAATGGCAGAAAGTGGATTGGTAGGATCTGTTTCAAGATAATTCATCAGTTTCAACTCATGTAAATGTATTGTCAGTGGATGCTGGGATACAGTAAATTGTAAATACCGTAGTCCTAACCCAGTAGTGAAATTGTTTTTGTGCAAACAAACAGTCGCCGAGTCGAACGCTGTGATTTATGTTGCACACATAGTTACAGCACCTCGCTCTGAACATTCATCTGAAATGTCAAACAGTCAAATAAACTCAGACTTCAGGAGAAATCTGTTTAACAGATGGCAGCTATTGTGTTCATTTTGTCGTTTTTCAGAAAGCATTTGAAATATTTTGTGCATGTGGATTCGGTGTTCCCACCATTATAAATACTAGAGGGGAAAATTGTATTATGTTATGTATTTCTTTTATTTTGGACACAATAACAAAGCAACATTTTGAAGTTTATCCAAATGTTATGTTTTGTTACTGTCGTGGTTTTATTTACTTGCCAGGCTGAGGAAGGAGCTGGAGATGCACAAAGAAGGACAACTTGAGCATCTAAGCTCAGAAATTCAATTCCTGCAGTCAGTAAGTTGGTGGCTTTTATTTAAATTATTCCATTTATTCCCTTTTTTAGCACGACACAGTCATACACAGATGCTGTCAAATTTGCTTAGAAGTTTTGAAAGGTAGTTGTGGGCCAACTTCCAAATATAACACATGAGCTAAAATGTATATCTTTATTCATTTGTCATTGTCACATTTGTTCTTTGTAAACCTATTTTTTTTTTCCTTTCTTTTTTAATTGCAGAAGCTGGACCGCAGCCAAGGGGCTGAGAAGTGTTAGGTTAGGCACACTGATAATTTGCAAAGTTTATCTTGTTTGTCTTACGTTCAAAAACAAAGACGCTGATTTACAGACGGTTCGTTTCTGCTTCCCTGCTTTCTTTATCTCCTAAGAGTCTTAACTAAGCCCTGGATAATATTTGTTTTTCTATTTGTGGATTGAATATTTTCTTTCTGTTGGTTTTTACACTTTCGTGCCCATTTTTGAGATAGTCAGAAACCCCCCTCCCAAAAAAAACAGGTTTATTAAAATGTATGAATCCTTTTTTCCATGTGTCTAATCCTTGCTTATAACACCAACAAGTTATATAAAAAAATATGATTCTTATTAATGTAACTATTCACAAACACGTGCAAAAAAGGTATTCAAAGTTTGTCCCAAAAGTGATTTTATATTGCCCTCTAGTGGATAGAATATGGTATTGCGACATTCCAGTCCATTCAGATCATGCCTACTGAAACAGCAGGTGAACAGACATTGCATGATTGTTGCATGCATTTTATTTCATTTCATTTTTATTCTTTATAACATTCATCATATCCTGATACCTACCTATCTAATGCTGTCAGCTTGGTAGGCTCTTTACCACCAGACTGAAACAAATACATTTTTTGATAAAAAAAA